TCCCTACATGTGCAACTTGAGGCTTATCCTGAGCTAAGGAGAGGGTGAGGGGCCTGAGGACAGGAAGGAGAGGAAGACTACTAGTCAGAAGGTGAGAGGAGATGTTTGGAAACAAAAGTTGCCCTGTCAGGGAGATTTTTCCTCGGACAAAGAGATCTCTGTTAACAGATCTCTTCCTGGTACAGGCTCTCTTTCCCAGGGTAAATTTAGGCATTTGAAGGGGAGATAAAGAGCTTTTCTTGAATCTGCAGGGTTTTGATTGCTTTTAACTAAAAAAAAATCTTCATGCCAAATGGTCCATCTTGGGGCAGTCTGTCCTTGGCCCCTACACACGACACAACTCTGAATGGGTGCAGGAATATATATACATATATAATACATATATATGTTTTCTCTCCATTGATAGTAAGTCTAGTCTATTAACTTGAGGATTTAGAAAAAATTAATTTGTTCCCAGAAGGGTTGAGCAACTTTGAAAAACCTATTGAACAACCCTCTACCCTCTTCATTAATTTGGAATTTACGTTCCCTGGGATGTTAAAAAGAGTATTTTCCTGGGACGCCTGGGTGGCTCAGTTGGTTAAGCATCTGCCTTTGGCTCAGGTCATGATCCCAAGGTCGTGGGATGGAGCCCCACATAGAGCTCCCTGCTCAGCAGGGAGCCTGCTTCTCCCTCTGCCTGCTGCCCCCCCTCCCCCCCACCCCCCGCTTGTGCTCTCTCTCTCTGGCGAATAATAAATAAAATCTTTTTTTAAAAAAAGTGTTTTCCTTTGTATTAGATATATTCAAAGGACTTATCAAGGAAATTAATAATGTAGAATGAGTTCCTGGGAAAATCTTTAAAATACTGAGGCAAAACACTTTAAAGCACCATTTGAGTGGTAAAGAATCATTAGCTTTCCATACTGACAAAATAACTGATAATTACAAAAGATTTCTTCATTTCTCCAAAGCATCAACCAAAGAATCTTGACCAGGCAACATACTGTTAATTTATTTACAGTCATTACTTGAATTTGGAAAAATAAAAGTACATTTAAAAAAATATCCTCCCAGGGGCTCCTGGTTGGCTCAGTCGGTTTAGCATCTGCCTTTGGCTCAGGTGATAGTCCTGGGATGGATCCCAGCAGCCCCCTCTGTGCTCAGCGTGGAGTCTGATTGTCCATCTACTCCTCCCCCTGCTTATGTGCACTCTCTCTCTCAAATATATAAAACCTTTAAAAAAAATGAAAATATGGAGGTAAATAGGAGAAAACTGCTAACCTAGTTGAAAGTGCTTGCTTCTGAAGAGGGGACTGAAAGGTAGGGTGTGGAGAAGGGAGATGCTATTTTTCATTCTATGTTTTGTCATATTTTTGATATTTAATAAATCATTGTGCACATGTTAATTTAACAGAAATCAAGGAGCATGCACTTCCCAGAAGGAGTAGGGTGAGGGCACTACAGGGTTCTGATTAGTTTTTGCTTGGGGTCCTCAATTTATAGCTCTTTGTTTCTAAATGAATACTTCGTTGTTCATTGTAATTGAAATTAATACAACTTCCACTACTACTTTGAGGTCCCTAGAGAGTTTGTAAGTGAAGATTAGAGAGATCTCTTCTTTTATATTTAAAAACTAACAGAGGGAGGGATGCCTGGGTGGCTCAGTCAGTTAAGCATCTGCCTTTGGCTCAGGTCATGTTCTCAGAGTCCTGGAATCCAGCCCCACGTCTTCAGTGGGGAGCCTGCTTCTACCTCTTCCCCTCCCCTCTGCTTGTGCTCGCCTTCTCTCTCTCTGACAAATAAATTAATAAGTAAAATCTTTAAAAATAAACTTAAAAAATAAAAATAAAAACTAACACAGGGAGACAAACCATAAGAGGCTCTTAAGCATAGGAAACAAACTGAGGGTTGCTGGAGGGGAGGGGGTTAGGGGATGGGGTAACTGGGTGATGGACATTAAAGAGGGTACATGATGTAATAAGCACTGGATATTATATAAGGCTGATGAACCATTGACCTCTACCTCTGAAACCAATAATACATTAATTAAATTTAAATAAAAATAAATTAAAAAAAAACAAAACTAATAGAATGCACCACTAGGTTTTTTTTTTCTTCCCAAAGTTGAGAAAGTTTTAGGGAATTGGAATAATTAATTTTATTTGCTTTTAAGACATTATTGAACTGGACGTTAAATTTATAAGGAAGTTTCGTAGGTGTCTATGACTAGCTTTTTTCTTTAATAATATGTGTATACCACTGTTTTCAGTTTAGTGAGTGGTGTTTTAAAACTCAACATTGACTTCTATTTCCTAAAAACGAAAAACATAAAAGCACTTCAAATTCAGGAGGAAAAAAACGCAAATTATAAGCTGGTTATTTATAATATGTCATATATACATATATAAATATATGGGCATAAAAGGAGCTAATTTAGTTAATTTAAGAAAAATTTTGTGGTTGAAATATTTCACATGGTCTGCCAAGAGCTAGTCTTATTAAAGCAGGGATATTACTGCTTGTTCCTGAAAAATCCAAATCAAAAGAGATGGACTGTAAACGTATCTACATGTTAGGAGCACCATGTACATCTGTCTTTCTCGAAAAAGTCTTCAGAGCACTTAAAATAAAATTAAGATGCTACTGTTTTATGTTATGTCTGCTGACATTACTTTTATTCTTGTTAACCGAGCACAGATGCAAAGGATGCTACCAACCAGACCTTAAATAGTAACCGCACAACCTCAGAGCTAGGAAGGTGGTAACAGCTCCACACAAGGCCACATTCTTGTGAGCTCTTCCAGCAGGGAGGGTGGGGGAATCAGCTTGCACCGATTATTTCTTATCTTTTAAACTTGTTTATTAATACCAATCAGGGCTGTTATTTAGTCAGTGCTTAAGAAGGCCAGGCCCTGTTCAGCATGATCTGTAGGGATGAGTTTATCTAATCTGTGGAGAGTGTGTTATTAGCCCTGTTTTGCAGATGGTAACACTGAGACTAAGAGGTGGTCCAGCCAGTTCTCCGTAGAGTTAAAATTTGCAACTTCGTGACTCTGGAAGCTCAGGCTTCCAGTCTGCTTTTCCATACCTTGGGGCAGGGTTGACAAATCCCCGGGTTATTAATTCTTGTGTTAGCTCTCTGGGAGGTTGGCATTGATATAGTCACAGAACCCTTCCACGTTGGCATGGATTTGGCAAAAAGAGCACAGGATTCAGGGTCAGGAGGCCTGATCCTTCTACCAGTTCTGCCTCTATCCCAGTGGTTTTTGGTGAGAATTCTCTGCCTTCTTGAGCCTCAGTTTCCTTAACTGGATAGGAGACTGGATCCCAGACAGCTCAAACATATGTAAATGTCACACCTCCACTTTCCCAGAAGCTGCCTAGCTCTTCCCACCTGGACAGACACTCTAGGTATCCAACTAATCTCCCCAGGTGAGAAATGGGCCAGAGTGGATGAGTCGGGGGCCACCAGGGAGCAGGGTGCTGCGCTGGTCTGCTACTATTTACGTTGCTTTAAATTTTTTTTTCTGTTTTATTATTTCCAAATTTTAATTAGAGCCAATTCTCATTACTTTCCATGGCTCTGAGTAGGTCCCGTTCTATTACTTTTCTTCCTCTAAATTCTGGCATTTGAGATTCTAGGAGATCCTGCATGGCTCATAAAACTTCAGGACCAGTTCCCATCCGACTTTCCTCCCACTCTCCAGCCTGTATTCTGCCCAACAATATACTTCTTGGCCAAGGGCTCTGTCTTGGAAGTGACTTCATTTAAGGGCAAGACTTGCATCAAGTGCAAGGGGATCTGGCAAGTGAATTCCAGGCCCAATTTTGCTTCTTTAGCTTTGCTGTGAAGCTTTGGGCAAGTTGTCTAACTTCAGAGCCTCATTTCTAAAATGGGTACTGTTACGTTCTAAGTAAAAGGGCTTGGGGCAAAGTACATACTAACGAACTTTTTTTTTCATTTTTCTTTATTTTTTAAAATTTTATTATGTTATGTTAATCACCATACCTTACATCATTAGTTTTTGATATAGTGTTCCATGATTCATTGTTTGCGTATAACACCCAGTGCTCCATTCAATAGTTCCCTCTTTAATACCCATCACCAGGCTAACCCATCCTCCCAACCCCCTCCCCTCTAGAACCCTCAGTTTGTTTCTCAGAGTCCCTAGTCCCTCATGGTTCGTCTCCCCCCATCCGATTTCCCCTCCTCTCTTGATGTGGCTGTGAGGAGAGCAGATTTGGGTGGGGAGAACTAGGGGCGCTATCTTCTGCATGTAATAAGCAATTACTGGGGACCCTTTTAAAAGTGAGGTGGGGTGAAAGGAAGCAGGGATGCAAAGCGAGTCCATGCGCAGGGATGGAGGCTGGAAAATAGATCAATATCCAGGGAAGCGAAAAGGGCTCTCACCGAATCCCCCAAAGTGCCGTGGGAAAGACAGGGCCGAAAAGCCAAGTGCCCATGGCTTCAGAGAAGCTTGGGAAGAGGGGACTTCTCCAAAGTTTAGTCTTCCTGGCAGAGTAGGGAGATAAAGGTATTTCAGAAACAGGGTTCCAGGGGAGATCTCAGTCGGCGCGAGGCAGAGAGCCGACCAGCACTTGGTGGTCCGTCCCCACTGCGTCGGTTCGGTGCAGGTCACTCCGCAATCGCTCAGTTAAGGATCTGAGCTTTACAGGAGTTAGCCATCATATCTTTCATCGGAGCCGGGGGAGGAGGGGGGCAGACTGAGCGCCGAAATGCCGGCGTGCGTAGAAGCACGGGGACGCCGGGCCCGCCCGATGGTGGGCGGACTTCGGAGCCCAGCGCCGCACCGGGAAGTGATCGCCGCCGCTCCGCCGCCTGACGCCAGCGGAAGTGCGAGCCCCGGGCGAGCCTGCCCGGCGGAGGAGCGCCCGGGAAGGGGCGGGAGCGGGGCGGGGCTGAGGGCGGCCGTGGCGGGGGGGGGGGGGGGGGGGGGGCCTGCGGCGGTGGGGCGGGGCTTGGCGGTGGTTGTTTTTACCCAGGCTGCGGTGCCTGGTTTTCGACTGGGGCTGCTCGGCGTGGAGGAGTGAGCTGCTCCAGAAAGGGGCGGTCGCCGCTGGAGGTAGCCAGGAGGGCCAGAGCGGAGCGGGCGAGTAAGCCCGTGGTCGTCGGCCGCCGCGATGTCAGCGCAGTGCTGTGCGGGCCAGGTGAGCGGGGGGGAGGTCAGGGGGGCGATGGATCGGGCTACGGGACCAGGAGCCTAGGCCACCGCCGGCTTCCCTGCATGCGCGCCCCAGATCCGCGGCTGTAAGTGGGCCGGGGGGTGGGTCGTCTGGGGTTGACACTGCGCAGACTGGATGAGTGCCTCGGGCCGGAGCACGGCGCGCAGCCGTCGGGGAAACCCTGTGCCGTGGGCGGGCTGGAGAGACACGGGGAAGCCCGAGAGGAGACCCCGAGATCTTCCCGTCAGGTCTTAGGGATTTCGCTTAGGGCGGGGCAGGCAGGGCTCGGGCCAAGGAACCTGACTGTCCGCGGAGAATTTCGCCTCCTCCATTTGGCACGAGTGCGTGGTGCTGAGCACGGTAGCCCACCGGCTCTGCCTACTCGAAGAGCCCAGAAAAAGACGTGCGTTTGGGCAACGTTTCCTTTCTCATGCCGCGAACAAAATTCGGATCATATGGCCCAGGCAGCTTGCACTTGGCACCTAGCAAACCTAGAGCATTGGCTCTGGTGCCTTCGAGAACGTCTCGAAACCTTGTTTCCAAACTATGTTGCTCAGGGCCGGGTGCAGGGAACACTCAGCCCTGCTTCCTGAGTTTCCCGACGCAACCCTGGCTGGACGCAGCCCGGCCGCCTGGGCAGAGCGCGAGCCTTCCCGTCCCTCCTTTTACCTGAACTTGCCAGTTACACTCATATAATATCTTAAAACATACATGTCTACTTGGGATAGGCGACTCCTACTGGTTAGTAGCGCATCTGGGGAGAATTACTAGGTTTTAACTCTTTTAATGCTAATTTCACGCCTTCCCGCTGAGTAAGAAACTACGAAGTAGGTAAAGTCTTAATGGATGTGGAGCTCCCTCCTCCCTAGTCTGTACAGCAAGCATTTCTGTACACAATTTTAATGGTGCGTTTTTTCAAATGAATCCAACTCCGGGGGCATTCAGGTACTGGGATGTTCTTGCTTTCTAATACATTCAGCCTTAGGGCAATCAAGGCCAGTCCGTAAGTGATGGAGGGGTTAAACTGTGAGTTTCTGTAACTGGCCGATTATACTGGCAGATAATCTGTCCCCCTTCCAGTGGGTATGTGAAGTTATCCTGGTTTTTGAGGTCTAATACTGTATTATTGGCATGCATTCACGCTGACCTTTTCAAACATGAGGAAATTGAGGTTTTTGTGGGTTTTTTTAGATTTTTATTCTTAAGTAATCTGCATACCGAACCTGGGGTTCAAACTCACAACCCCAAGACCAAGAGTCTCGTGGTCCACCAACTGAGCCAGCCAGGCGCTCCTGAAAATTGAGGTTTTTAACTTGAGGTGTAATGACTTGCCTTAAGTCAGGCAAGGAGAGAGATGATGCTTACCACCTTGCCAGGGCTTTTGAGACCAAGGTGGATGGGAAAGGCTATTTTCTGAATGTTCCCAATCTCAAAGTGTTGCAAATCTTTAATTGTTGTTGTTTGAGATGCTTTACAATTTGATGCCACACTTCCCATTATTTAGTAATTACAGATATTTAGGGGCATCTGTCCTCCCCTAGTCCCTTGAAAGCCCCTTGAGGCCTTCTGTGACTCCAAGAAGCTAATTTAGGGCTTTGGAAATGATTACCGGTACTCAAGTGGTCTTGTAAAAGAATTATTTGTATGGTTGATATTTTGGCAGGATTTAATGACTTGTTTCTAAAATCCCCCTCTCAGGACTTTGGAAACAACCAAATCCTGGCCATTCATCACAGGAAAGTTAACTTCTGCTTTCTCTGGGCTGCTTGAGGCAACACTGTGGTGGGTCTCAAGGCAGTGAGGGGTTGATGACACTGTGATTTCATCTGGATGGGGCTGTTAAGGAGTGTACGTTAAAGAAAACCTCATAGCACCATCAGAAGCTGAATCTACCCGGGGCGGGGGGGGGGGGGGGGTGCTGGGTGGCTCAGTTGGTAAGCGTCTGCCTTCGGCTAAGGTCATGATCCCAGGGTTCTGGGATCGAGCCCCGCATCGGGCTCCT